TATTTTTAGTAGAGACGGGGTTTCACCATGTTGACCGGGATGGTCTCGATCTCTCGACCTCGTGATCCACCAGTCTCAGCCTCCCAAAGTGCTGGGATTACAGGCTTGAGCCACCGCGCCTGGCCTCAATAAAGGTTTTAACCAGTAGATTATAAACCAGCGATTTGGGCCAGGCACAGAGCTTCACACCTGTAATCCCAGCACTTTGGAAGGCCGAGGTGGGAGGATCTCTTGAGGCCAGGAGCTCATAACCAGACTGGGCAACATAGATTTTGTCTTTACAAAAACAAATTTTGTTTTAATTAGGTGGTGCAGGCCTGTTGTCCCAGCTACTCTGGTGGCTGAGGTGGAAGAATCGCTGGAGCTCAGGGATTTGAAGCAGCAGTAAGCTATGATCGTACCACTGTACTCCAGCCTGAGTGACAGAGTGAGACCCTGTCTCTAAAAGAAAAGTGATTTATAATTAGAAATCTGTAAATCCAGACTACAAGAGAGGAAAACAATGCAAGTGAGGGGGAGAAACATCTGTTTCCTATTTCATGTAAGATAAAATTTATGTCATAGGCCTGGAAACATGCTTCATTTTACCTAACCATTTCTTCTTAAAATTTCTGCAGGAATTGATGGGTTTTTTCTTTCTCAGCTGAAATTCTACTTTAAAAGCACTAGGGAATTTGTTATTTAAATGTGGCCTGAAGCAAATCCTTTTGCACAGCCAATAATCTTGCCTTAATTTCTCCTTTAAAAGGTGAGTTTTCTGCATACGTTTCTTTTTAAAGTAAATTCTAATATGATGCCATTTTCATAGCTGGTGGACTTGTTAGATTGGCTTTATTTTTGGCTTAAAAATGCATTTCCACTGCAATCATATCAATGTCTCGTGCTCTGTATACAAACATCCTCAGCGACCCAATTAAGCAGAGAATTGAAACTTCATGACGAAAGAGAGAAAACCTAACGACACAGATGCAGGATGTGCCCTGCTGGGTTCTCTATTCCCAGACATATTTCTCTGGTTCCCTTGCACTCTTACACCCACATTCAAATGTCCTTTATCACCTTGGAGGTCATGCGAATTCCAGAACTTCCTGTTTGTTTGGGAATGCTATGAGAACTGCTCTTCTAAAGGAACAAAGAGATGACATTCCAGCCTTTCAGGGAGGTCACACCAAGGATCACAAACAGGAAAGTGTCTCTTCCATCCACTTACACATGGGAAGCTGGGGATATTTTTCCCCCTTGATTGGAAAGATATGCAGAATATCTCAACTGATGAGGGCCCAGGAGCTGGCCATGCCACCTGTGCTCAGTCATACCTGGAGGGTGACAGTCCCTCCTTAAACAGTACGTCTCAGCTGCCTGTCACCGGCAGAGCTGAACATGTCATTTCGCCTCTGCTCATGTCTAAGTGCTCTGGCTATTTCTGGCTAGTTTCAGTGACTTCCAGAGCCCTGGCCTTTCTCTTAGGCAGGTTCTTCTAAGCAGCAGCTGAGCTGAGGCTAACGGTCCTAACCAGGAAATCAGATGGTAGAAGATTCATACATCGAAAATCAAACAAAAATCCATGTGTCCCCCTTACAGCCTGGTCCCTAGCATTTATGAAGGTTCCTCAAGGCAGGACTAGACAGTGACCTATACTGAGAGTCAGGGAGATCAGACTGAAAGGAGGAGTGGATAAAGCCATTCAGCAATTCACACTAACTTTGGGAGGCCAGGTCTCCTCTGGGCAAAGAGGAAGCCTTTGAAGAACATCTGCTTCTTCAAGGTGGAAGGCACAGCAATAAAGTGATTCCTAATAATGTAAAGTGTAATGTAATCCTAATGTAGCACCTATATCTCAGGGGAGGAGGAAGGGTGCTTACTGAGTTTCTACTAGGTACTTCTGTGTAGATTGTACCACTCAATTCTCTCCTTATCCTAGAAGATATGTACATTATTCTCCCTTTATCAATGAGAAAACAGCTTCAGAGAGGTGAAGCAACCTGCTCAAGACCACAGAGCTCTGAGCAGCAGAGCCCAGATGCAAATCCAGTCCAACGGGATGCACGCCACTTCTGCCACCTCTCCCTCAACCCACTCAAGGACCAACATCTTGAAAATAAGCCAATAGCAAGCATTGAAGCAGCCCTTACGTGACAGCAGCTTACATTTGTTGAGTGCTCATCCCTGGCCACCCATTTTTTTCTAAATGCCTGGTTTGTATTATCTCTCTCATTTCACACTTGCAACAACCCCCGTGAGGATAGCTACTTTTATTATTTTTCTTTTCAGGTGAAACGCCTGGGTCGTAGAGTGGTTAAGTGCCATGCCAGGGTCATACAGACTGTACGCCGTGCTTCTGGGCTTTGAGTTCAGCCTTGTAGCCCCAGAGCCCCTGCTGAATCCAACAACGGCTTCCTAGGGACTTGCAAGAAGGCCCTGCGACTTCTGAGAATATGAGCATCCTATTTCCCAAGTTGGTTCCCTGCCCACCCTGGAATGTCCACCCAACAGCCTGGCTGAGCCCGCCCTCCCTCTCCTAAGACTGCTCGCCCTGTGCATAGGAGCAGCTGATCCTGTGGAAGGCAGAGGTAGGGCTGGAGCTGACCTGCCTTGTCCAGTTTATAGCAGGGGAAAAGATCCCAGCTTCCCATATGACATGGCCCTTCAGCGCCCTCATTCCTGTGTTCCAGGCATACCTGTAATGTTTCTACAGATTCTAAAGCCATCCAGGCCAAATGGCTTATTTGCTTCTTTAATCCTCTAATTCTCGGGTGTTTTTCGCAGTACCAGACTTACCATGGAAACTCAGTAAACTCACGTTTAAAGACACTCCCCCTTATTTCACCCAGAACCTTAAGTATGAATGAAAATGAATTCCCATTGCCAGTTGCTCTTCCTTTCCCCGGGTAGAACGGCCTAATAGAAAGAGGAGTCTATGCAGTTACAGACCTGGGATTGTGTCCCTGCCTCAGCCCCTTATCTACTGTGCAGTCCTCAGCAAAGTCCTCCCGGGATTCAGTTTCCTCTTTGGTGAAGCAGGACAATACCCTGCCTTGCAGTGTTCTTTTTGGGCTTTCATAAGATTTTATGTAAGAGGCGTGGCCCAAAGTAAGTGCTTAAAATAAGAAGAATTCTCTTTCCTGTCCTCTATTCTTACCAAGTTTAGCCTTTACAACACAATGGCCCTTAATAAATAAATAAGTCTTTAAATGCATCTCTCCCCAGGGCCGCATAGGGGGCTGAAAAAAGGCCCTTTAAGTTTCCGACAGTGCATCCTGACTCCTTGTCCCCTTGCTGTGCAGTCTTGGCCAAGTCACTTCAACTTTCTGGGCCTCAGTTTCCTTACCTGTCAACTGAGATCTGGGCTAAGTAATCACTCAAGGGTCCACCAGTTTCTCTGATTATAATTACTCAGTGCTCCTACTTAAAATATTTGGAAATGAGTATTCTTCACCTCTATGAGGCCAGAGCTCCTTTTTTCCATCTAAACTTGTGGAGCCGTAAGCAATTAACCCCAGAGATGCTGATTTACCCTGAGCTGCCTTCCCTAGAATAAGAAGGTTGATGGTGCCACGTGTGTGAGCAGTGGGCTGCCGTGAAGGCCTGTGCAGGGCCGTGGGTCTGGGCAGGACCTGACTGTGGGCAAGTAAGTCACTGTGCTCTCAGCTAGAGTTATTTTATTTTTAAAATGGGGGTAGGAGAAAGGGGAGGAAAAGTTTACATTAAGCATTTTAAATTGGTTTTACATTACAAAATCAATAAAACCATATAGCAAATTTGGAAAATAGAAAAAGAAAATTTGAGAAATAGATATTAGGAAAAAAAATCATCCGATATTGTATCTAATTCAGTCGCTATTTGTTATTATTTGGGTCTTTCTCTTAATCCTTTTTCATTTGGTTTACCTAGTAGATATGCGACTTCTGTTTTTGGGGTTTTTTCTTGTTCCTTAACTTAGAATTGTCATTAAAGCAAGTTGCTTCGTGATCTTTGCAATCATCACATAATAATGCATATTTCTTTTGTCATTCCATTTGTTTGCTTGTAACTTCTAAAGACAATTTTTATTTAATTATTTTTAAATATAAAGTTAAATTATATCTTTTTGCATACATATGCGTATATGTGTGCGTAAAGTTGTGTGTTTCTAAGAGAATAGATTCTCAAGAATGGACTTACTGCTTCAAAGGATTTGATCATTTGCACAGCTTTTGGTACGTGTTGTCAGATTGCTTTCCAAAGGGGCTGCACCGATTGACTATGCCATCAGCAATTACCCATTTTGCTGTATCTTAACCAGAACTGGTTATTATCATTTAAATTTTTTGGAGATTTAATCGGCAAAGCAGTGCCTAATTGTTTTAATTTGCATGGCATTGATGAACTGAGGAAGCCAATCATTTTTTTATATTTTTGTTTTCCTTTCCCTTCCTAGAATCAAGTGATTTCTGAGGCACTTTCATCCCCAACCCCTAATACTTGAAGGCTGGGAGCCTCTAGGAAAGCAGACAGATAGCACAAGATTGTAGGAGCCAGAGAGGAGACTGTAAGGAGAGGTGAATGATGGCATTAAGAGGTTACTGGACAGAGGAGAAAAACTAAGAATTAACTAAGGAACACCTAAGAAGTGACTCTGCTCAAACTTAAAAGGGGTCCCCTCTTCTGTTTGGCAGCTCCATTGATGTGCAATGGAGATAATACAGTTGCTCTCTCTTCTGTGATTAGAAAATGAGAATTCATTCATGAGACAAAAGTTAAACTAACGTTAGTACTATTTACAGTGAGACCCTGTTTTAAGGCTGATTTTAGGAATTAAGACCGATACCTTCATTAAAGACAGATAAGGTATACCAGGTGTTTTCTGTATCTAATTCATGTTTACACTACTTGAATTGATCTCTTTAGTAACTGAATCTCTTTGAGAACCAGCTGTATCTTTTTTGACAGGTCCATTCAGCTAACTGGCTTAATCAAAAGGTCAGTAAAAAGCTGTAACCTTAAAAACACTGGAGGTTTACCAGTTGCTCCAGGGATACTTCATCTTCCCTTTCATTTACTTCAATTTTTTCCATGTTTCTTCGCCAAATTTCTCTATCACAAGAGATTGCAGACAGGTGTTGATAAATCCATACTAGAATACAAAACCAGAAGAAAAATATATGTAATGAGGCATGAAATCCCCAGTCATAGACATCTTCATGTCTTTTAGGAAGTGTACAATGGCATCCTCTTGGAGAAACTAATGATATTCCTTGTTTCTCATGATTTAATTTAATAGCTGTACTCGTTCCCAACTTAGGGAAAACCTGGAAGCCCATCGCTTGGGTTATTTCCATAGAGAAACATACGAACTACGTTTGAAATCGAATTATAATTAGAGAAAGTTAAAGTGTTTACTGTCAATTATAATCCTCTCTGAAATAGGGAACTGGTTTGTTAAAGAATTAAAAAACACACCAGTGGCAGGGGAGCGTTAGACCTGGGAGAAAGGAAGGGCACACACTTCATGTCAATTCCAAAAAGGCAGTGAAAGGACAATTTTTTTTTATACAAATGAATCTAGTGTTGGCTGTGTGTGTGTGTAGAATATAAGGGTGCAGAAAAAGAGAGGAGGAAACTCCAGTAAGAAAGACAGCACCAGGTTAACAGAGAAAACTGTTTTCTGGGTTTGCTCATTAATCTGTGCTCCTTCTTCTTCCTCCATCGGAAAAAAAAAAGGGAGGACCCATGAACACGTTTGCTTAGTGAGGGGCAGTGTGCTCCACGCAGGCCACCCGCCTTCCACAACTCAGGGGCTCCTAACCAAAGCGGAGTGATTGAATTATATTTGAAAGCAACTTGTGAGCTCAGCTTTCAAAAGGGTTCTTCCTAAAGGGAAGAACCCTTTTGTCCCACAAATATCAGGCTCCAGATTTATTTTATAAGTTTGGATTTTCACATATATAGGAATTTTTTAACGTGAAAGAGCCCATGCCAACAGGAAGGAAAGGGTCTAAACGCTGGTAGTTCTTTTCTGGCAATGGGAATATTTGTCCTACTGGGTCATATTTACAGTTCCCCACCACCAATGTCACCCTTACTCTATCTTGTCCCAGCTCTACCGTCCCCAGCGTGTGCCTGCACCCTAGCCTGGCATTCAGAGCACTCTCTAGAACTGTCTTAATTTATGTTTCTTTTTTTTTTTTTTTTTTGAGACGGAGTCTCACTCTGTTGCCAGGCTAGAGTGCAGTGGTACGATCTCGGCTCACTGCAACCTCTGCCTCCCAGGTTCAAGCGATTCTCCTGCCTCAGCCTCCCAAGTAGCTGGGATTACAGGCTCGTGCCACCACGCCCAACTAATTTTTGCATTTTTAGGAGAGACATGATTTCACCATGTTAGCCAGGATGGTCTTGATCTCCTGACCTTGCGATCGCCTGCCCCAGCCTCCCAATGTTTCATTTTATCACCTACTCCTGCTGCGTTAGGCTCATCTGAAATGCTTACCACCCTCCCTAAACAGAGATGACACTTCTTCAATGGATAGGGTTTCCTCTTTCCTCACCCGGTCAGCCCAGGGCAAGGCCAGGCTCTGATGCTACTGGGATGCTGCCTGGTCTGCAGGCAGCCTGGTCTGACCAGCCCCAGCCATCATTCCCTGTCACTGCTGGATGCTTCTGTGTCCTCATCACCACAGGGCTGGCGTGTTAAACGATCACAGGAACATGCTCATATTTTATATCAATCAGCACACACATATACATACACACAGGCATACATGCATGGTGTGCATGTATTTGTATATACTTACATACATTATGTGTGTTTATATATGGATATGCATACATATGTACATATATACACATATGCGTGTGTGTGTGTATGTGTGTGTATATATATATACATATTTTTCCTGTTCTTTGTTAAATTGCAAGCTTCTCAGGGCCAAGAAGTAAGTGTCATTTATCTGTATTTTGACTAAAGTGCCAAGACAGTGTCTGATACATAGTAGGTGTTTAATAAATACTTATTGAGGAAGGAAGTACTGAATTTAAACCTCAAGTCTGAACTTAGGAAAATCTCTACGTAACCCCAGTTATTCAACATCAATCCAATGTTAACAAAGAGAGCAACTGTTTAACTTAGCAATCTTTGCAAAAGTATACCCAGTCAAATAAAACATCGTGCCCACTGCCTGAGACACCCTTCTGGTGTGTAACAAGGGAAACTGAGGCATCGGGGACTGTGAAGACTGCTGCTGGTTGATAACCACATCATCTACTTCTGGGTCATGACCACCCGATAGTGGGCCTCTGTTTGATGAATGTAGGGCCACCGTGACAGGTAGTTCAGCATTTGTCTTTGGTGTTCAGCAGTTCCCCAAGCTGGTAGCAGAGCTAATCATTTAGGGACCTTGAGCCTACAGATTAGAGAGCGGCCCTTTCACCCTCTGCTGATTATAAACATGTCCTCTTCCTGTCCACTAAAATCAGGTGACTTTTTCTGCCCCTGGAGAGAACAAAAGAGGCAATGGATCTCACACAATGTGTCCAGCGTATGCCAGGGCCTTGGTGTTTACTGCCCACACCCAGGTGGAGGGGGATACTTGGTAGAACACACTCTACACATTTGAGGGACTCACTGAAGTGGACAAGAATGGCAGCCAGCACCAAACTCTCTAACCATCTGGAACTAGTACCGCTCAGCCAGTGAGATCAGCAGGCAGGCAGGGACTGTCATTGGCAGGCGGCACCCCAATCTTTCAGAGGCTACTTTAGGCCATAGCTGTGGCACCCCCCAAAAAACATCTGCGTTCCAAAGAAGCAATTAAAACATCTGAACATGTTAAGGTTTAGCCAAATCTTTCTCTTGTAAAGATGTCTCCATGTTGCAGTCCTACTTACCGTGCCTGCCAGGCATTGGCTGGAGAATGTGGCTTCAAAATAAAATGCAGCCTTAGTGAGCCCAGAGAGGGGGTGCGGCTTAGGAGAAAGGGTTTGGGCTCTGGAGCCAGAAGGGTTTCTGTTTCTGTGACTTGTAGCTGTGCAGCTTTGGGTAAATTGCCTAACCTCTCTGAGCCCACCCTGCTCGTGAGCTGAAGTGGAAGTAATACCATTTGCTCAGTTGGAGGATGGTTGTAAGGGTTATAGAGAAAGGGTTCTGGAGTCAGACCATGAGGCTCATTGCTGACCCCAAGTCTAACTTGCTGTTTAACTCAGGCCAGATCTTACTGGTCTTCAGTTGTCTCATCTGGAAAATGGGGGTGAGAATGGTCCCTTCCTCACAGGGTTTTAGTAAGGATTAAATGAGGCAATATGTGTGAGGTACTTGGCACATAGTAAGCGCTCAGGAAACTACAGCCACACTTCTTAGATAACAAGAATGTGGAACAATAGGTGCTTAACAAACGGAAGCTGAGGGAACATCAGGGCGGGGGGGCGGGGGGGGGGCTGCTCACCGTATTCCGGCCGCAGCTGCTCCTGGGGCCGCAGCGACTGAGGTGCAGCACCAAGCACTCGCCCTTCCTGCCAGCCCCTGGTCGCTCAGGAGAACGCACTGCGTCTCTGGAAGCCTGTCTTGTAGAGGTCCAGGCGGCCCACAGGGAAATTAGGAGCTCATCACTGGCCTCCAAGCAAGGAGCACTGTTGGGTCCTCAGATGCCTGGGGAGTACAGCGTAAGGCCGTCCCCTCCGGGGAGCAAGCAGGACCTGCTGCCTGGCTCCCCAAATCATGCACATCCCGGATGCTAAGCTCTCAGGAGTTCGTCCTGACACCTGAAGCTTCTCCCCGAGGTGCCAACGCCACAGAACGCTCTTCTCCCAGCACGGAAAGGCATATACCCCTAAGCTCCTGTAGGAAGACTGCCTTGCAGATGAGGCTACTGAGCGGTCTTTTTAGTCTCTCTTTAATTAAACCTCTACGGAGGCCGTCCAGGAACGGCCCGCCTTGACCGACACTTGGCCCCACAGTGTCAGCACGGGAAGTCCCCTGACCAACACTTGGCCTCACTGTGCCATCACGTGACATCCCCTGGTGCTTCGAGCCTCATCCTCTATCCTCATCACCATTCTGTTTCAGGCTCTGGTGGGGCTGTTGGCCAGAGGTCTATTTCCTGAGCATTACTTGTGGTCAGAGGTGAGAAGTCCAGCCACTAACCAGGTCCAGCGAATGCTGCCTGTGGCAGTTGGAACACACATGCTAGCTTTGGTGAAAAAACCGAGAACAAATAAATTCAGTAAAATCAAAGGCTGGGGTAAGCCCTCCAGGCTGCAGTGTGGAGGTGTGGGGGACTAGATAGACGTGGCTAGTGATTAAGACAGCACATCGGGGACCTAACAACGCCACAGTGGGGGCCATCCGCTGAAGTGAGTGTCCAGACATAGCACGATCTCGTGAAAGACTTCCGCATCCTTCCTTTGGTGTTGCAGTTTGTTGAAGGATTCTTCCCTCCTCAGTAAGCACTCCTTAACTCCCAGCTGCTGGCATCCCTCTCCCATCCTGCCTGCCCTTCTTTCTGTCGCTCTCCTTAGAAAGACTTTCTGGTCCTCCTTCCATTCACCCTTTAACCTCTGGCTTCACTCAAGCCAGCTTCTCCATAGAAGGACCTGACACCCAGAGAGACTCGTTTAAGCCCCTCTTCTTTCTCAAGTGGGGACTTCACTTATTCTCAAAAGCTGGACTCTATGTGCTGCTCCTCAGTGGAAGGAACATGTGGTCAGGAGGAGAAAAAAGGGCTCTGGAATAGATGATTTCCATAATTACGCTTCGCAAGCCCTTGCCTCCATTCAGCTGACACTCTTTCTTTCTGCCCTGCCAAGTGGGCTTGCTCTGGCGCTCTCTCACGAACCCCCTCCCCGCCCCCAACCGCTTTTTGAAACACATACACCAGCACCCTCACATTTCACAATAAGTAAATCGTTTAAAAAAAAAATCTCCATTTTCTTTTTCATGCAGCAGATGGCAGTTCTCAGGAACTTGGTGGAAATTAGGCTTTCTGATTTTCTAATAAATTTCAACATCTCACACAAAAAGCACAAGCTCATTTTGATTCTGATGTTAAGTGCCATATGGCATATCATCCATGGAACGTGGCAGCTTCATACCCAGGGTAACAAGGAAGGGAGGGTCTTTCGTGTAACAACCAGGCTGAGCGGGAACGAACCAATTGGATTCCTGGGTGAATACCATTTGATAATAATATTGTATATGACAGTGGAGTAATTATCCCTCTTTTATGGTATGTGTTAATTTTCACTGCCAGTTTCCCTAATTACAACTGCCACCCAACGGACCACTTTTTGTAAATACTCTGTAAACATTTGAAAAGACATAGACAGTGCTTGTACCAAAAAAAAAAAAAAGTCCCTAGATTTTGAAACTGTCTGGAAAATTGGCTGACATTTTATATGTTTTTCAATTGCATAGACAGCGAGGGAGGAAATTTCATGATATGGAAATTCCCCTTCTCTCTTCTATGACATAACGGACCTCCCTGCCCATACTGTGATTATTGTTTTGAGGAACATTTTTCGCTGTTACCTTTTTCTATCTTAAGTGAGCAGTTTCATGACCTTTGACAAATGTATACTACGGTGAAGCTCATACCCTAATAAAATATAGACCATCTCCGTCATCACAGACAATTCCCTGGTACCCCTTCTCAATCAGCCCCACCAGCCCCAACTCCCCGTTCTAATTACTATCATATTATCACCATAGACTGGTTTTGTTTGCTCTTGAATTTCACATGAATCGAATCATACAGTATGTTCTCTGCTGTGCCTGGCTTAACTTGTTAACTTACATTTCGTGCAGTTCAAACATTGTTCCTCAAATTAGACATAAGTATGGACACAGCCTCACCTGATGCGTGTTCTGTGACACGTGATGAGGTCCAATAAGCCACATCTCATGTCTCGTGGTCTGTGTATGAAGTGCAGTGACAAACACAGATCTTTTATCTTTCATGAACTTGGGGGGAGGGAGGGATACCATTGGGAGGTCACTAGAGTAAACCTCTGTCGTTTACAGAAAGAAACCAGAGGGAGAATGCAAGGTAAGAGTGTCTGAGAAGAAAATAGAACCCTGATCTGTTTTTTGGTGGTTTGTTTGTGCATTTCTGGGAAGGCAGCTGCCTCATTCCCGGTAGGAAGCCTTTCCCGCCGTTCATTTGTTGCCCCTAGTCTACCTCCGACTTCCTGGCTTCTGAGTCGCTGCTGGCTTTCTTTCCAGGGCCTGTATCAGCAGAGGAAGGTGTTCCCGGACACAAGACGGGGTGGCTGAAGCTGGGCTCCAGAGGCCCGTCTGTTAGAAAATACGCCCCCACCCTCCAGGCCTGCCAGGTCTCTGAAATTCTCATGCCTTTTGGCTACAACTTGAGAAACTCCTGAGAAAATTAAAATATTATCCCTTTGGCTAATCAGATTAGCTAGCATTCACTTAAGAAGGAAAAGGACATAGAATAGGTCAACTCTGATATGTGTGCATCAGAGGGACTGAGAGGATCAATTTCCACATCAGTCCAAGCCACAGAGTGCTCTCTGAGAGACAGGCTCCGCAGAGGGAGCTCCTCACCACCTAGGGCCCGCGGAGGCACAGAATGAAAGAGGTACTGGGTTGGCCTCAACTTTTCTCCCTTGGTGGGATTAATAACTCACTGAAAGATGTCTTGAGGCCGGGATAACTTGGCTAAAGGTAGAGCTGTGATAAAGAGCCAGATTCCTTTTGGTGTATTTGCATATTAGAAACTTTATGTGCAGAAACAACTGAGTCATGAATCAGTAAGAATCTTCAGGAAAAAAAATATCCAGAAGACAAGGCGGTTTGTTTTCCTAAATGTTCATAGTAAGTGCTTGTAGTCTCTTCATGCCAGCTGTGATAATAATCACTCACTTTTATCAAGCCCCACAATGTGCTTGGCACAGAGCACTTTCGGTGTTTCAGAATGAGCCACATGAAATTGCCATGTTTCACAGGTCAGAGACTTTAGAATATTGGCCAACTGAACCACTTTCATTTGGTTCCGCTTAAGATTAATTCAGCCTTACCACAATCCCATGGCATAGGTCCTACGATCATGAACGCCCTTGAATGGTGAGAGCGTCCGGGTGAAGAGACATGAAATAGCCTCCTTAAGTCTCCAAAACTAGTTAGTGTCCGAGCTGGTCATTCACACCCAGGCCTATGTCCTATATCACCTTCAAGAGTAGAATAAAACTGGCTGCTGTTAACCCCTCTCTTTTTTTCTGGAAGAAATTTAGGCCTGTCTTGGAGTCAGAGTCAGGTAATATATTCAGAAAAATCTCTTTTTCCAGGAAAATCAAAATTCTGGCTTGTGTGAGCCCATTTTCTTTCATGTACCATGCTGGAAATTGAGGTTTTGATTCGCGCATATGGTTAAGTACAATGTGGTGAAAAGCACCTGAAAATAGGCTCTGAATGTGGAATTCTGGATCCTTTAATTTCAAATAAGAAGTCCTTTGATTTCCCCTTAGGATGGGTGAAACCAGCTGGTAACCAGCTAGTGAACCCAGTTCACCTCCACCATTGCTAACAGCCCCATACTCGTTGACAATGATATCTGTGTATTCTAAGAACTAGAGGGTAGGGCCTTTTCCTTTACCTTTTGATTTTCCAAACTTCAGTGATGCATAAAGAGGACCAGTGGGATTGCTGGGCATAAAGCGCCACCGTGTGGCCAAAGCTCCACATGCCACCAGGCCACTGTACGTCACTCCTGCTGGAAAGGAGGCAAGGAGGTGTGTGACTCTGAAGATCCACAAATCCACCTGGAGGAGCACCTGGCCTCAAGTCTGAGTCTTCACCCTGGAACTGGTACCCAGGACGTGGATTAATCATGAAAAAGTCCTTTGTCTTCCCTGAGTGGTAGTGTCCCTCAGTGTAAAATGAGGCCACAACCTTCTCCAGGTGCAGCGGTTCCAGAACTGCAAAGTGAATATACATCTGACTTTGCACGTTATGTACAGAACCCAGGCGAGACTGGAGGTGAGGTCTCGCAACACTGGCACTCTAGGTAAGGGCTTCTAGAGACCAGAGTCAGCAGCCTGCCAATCTAACCTAACCTATACTTCCATTTGATAAAGGAAATTTGCAAATAAACCAGGTGATCTGGGGACCATATATAAGGAGGCATGGCAAAAAAGGATGGTCACATTGTAACCAACTAAATATAACTTGCAGATTTATGTATTTTAAGAGCCCTAATAATAATATTAACTGAATATTTATTGTGCCTACTCTGCCAGCCATGGTGCCAAGTGCTTGACATGTATTATCCCATCGGGTGCTCACGAGGGTCCCGTGAAGTAGGCACTTGAGCTTTCTTCATTTACAGTCAGGCCGCTGGGGCTGGGGGCAGGTGGATAGCACATTCAAGGCCATCCAGCCAGTAGCTGGAGGAACCAAGCTTCAAGCAGACCTCCCGCCTACAGAGCCTGCTCTGAACATTGCTGCCGTGCTGTCTTCGTCAAAACAGCTTGCTCAGGAGGCTGTACTCTTCAATTGAAACATTTGGAGAGCTTCTTTCATGGCTATTTTCAGATTGTGTGGCAAAATTTTTGAATATCCTAAGTGAGAGCAAATCAACATTCTTTCATGATGGCAATAGTTAACAGTTACTATCTGCCAGGCACTTCAACAGGTGTAAATTCATTTAATCTTCCCTATGACACTATGTGTTAAGAAATGTTACTATCATGTCCAATTCCCGTTTGAGAAAAATAAAACATAGAGAGCCTAAATCATCTGCCCACTTTTACACAGCCGGGGCCTCAGGCCCGCAGCTTGGGTGAGACTGTGTGAGATGGGGTGAGACTGGGGAGTTCGTTCTTTGCATGAGGGGGCTCTTGGGACCCAGAGTCCATCCCCACACCCACCCAGTGGAGGCCAGAGGCCACCCAGTGAAAGTGGTACCTCAGTCATGAATGACACTTCAGGTTCCTACTATAGGCAACTGTCTCTCAGGTGGGCTTGAGATTTAGAAACAGAAGCAGCGCGGATGTGGGTCTCGTGAGAAGGGTTAGTGAGCTCTCTGGGCTGTGGACAGTCCGATTATAAATCAAAATTGAGACTGCTTTTCTCACCTGGCTTTGGAGCCTGCCCCACCGGCCCTACTGGTCCCCCATGCCAATTCCCCTCTCACCTCTCGGCTCAGTCCCCAACCCTTGGAGCGCTTCTTCCTCCGCATCGGCCCGCTCTTCCTCGACCCTCACTTGCTCCTCCTCTGCTTAGCTTCTGCATGCTGCGGTGCTCCAGCCCCCAGGTGTCAACTTCCTCCCTCTTACAACTCCACTCAGCACCTAGATGACCTCGCTGCCCTGTGGCTTCAGATTCCATCTCTGCGAGGATGGCCCCAGGATCACAGCCTAGACCAAACCACTCCCCTGCGCTCTACACGACGGTGTCTAATTTCCCATTTGACATCTCTGCTTGGAGGTCTACAGAAAGCTCTAAGTGAACATACCTAAAACAGAACTCTTGATTTCCCTCACTACCAAATACCCCTACCAGTCAGCCCATCCCTCATGCAGCTCAATAAAGGGAACCTCTATCACTACCCCATGTCTCCACAGTGAATTCACAGCTAACCTAAGTACTGGAAAGTTCTCCTTCAGCGTTGACCCTAAATCTAATCAACTGTGGTTACCTCTCTTTCCCTGCCCTGATCAAGCTACTCCACCTGGACCCCACGGGGCTGCTCAACAGCTGTCCCAACCCTGCAGCCCCAGTCAAAACCTCACCCAACAGCCAGAACCATCTTTTAAAAATGCCATCAGATTGTGTTATTCCCTTGCTCAGACCCTCGAGAACTCCTCGGCACCTCCCTTTCTGCTCGTCAAGATCCCTTGATGCTGTTCCACATGGGGCCTTCCTGTGCCTGGTCAGTTCTCCTCCTGGTCCTCCTTCATCCCCCACTTCATTCCGTTCAAGTGTCACCACCTCTGAGAGGCCTCCCCTGGCTGAACACCCACCTCCTGCCTCTCCACGCTCTGTGCCTTTCTCCACCGGACTTCACAGCATTGCACCCCTGGCCCTTTCTTCTATGTAAATATATATGCGTGTCATGGCTGACTGCTTATTGCCTGTATACCCCTGCCCCCAAATGGAAAAGCTCTGAAGGAAGGGATCTGGTCCTATTCTGCCCTCAGGGCCCGGAAGAGTGCTTGGCAAATATGGGTGCTCAATATTGCACTGTGGATGAATCAGGGACATCCTGGAGCCCCCTCACATGGGCCATGCTCCCTCCAGCACAGGTCCCTCTCCATGATCTTCCCTCAGTTTCGCTCCACAGCCCACAGCCCTTGACATTTTGATGCCTCATGGTCTCCTGCTGGTCTCAGCTTATGGTCACTTTATTCATTTACGCAATCTGGCAATCATTCCATCAACACACAGTTGGTGTAGTTCTAAGCCCCGGGGATAGAGTGAACAGAACAGGCTAAGCCCTTGCCCACGTGGGGCTCACAGTCTAATGGGGACATAGACGTGTGCATGCGCGCACGTGTGTGTGTGTGTGTGTGTGTGTATGCATTAGATCATGGCATACACTACAAAGAAAACCTCAGCATGGTAAGAATGAAGCAGAGATGCTTGAGATCCAGTGGTTAGGAGAGGCCTCTCTGAGGCTGTTGAGTACTGGAGCCTGACAAATGAAACCATGTAGGATCTAGAATGTCCTCCCCAAGCCACCCTGCCCTGACTAGCTCAGATTTGTCTGTTATAACTTTTTGGGGACACCCTGGGCCTCTGGCACAGCACATGCTACAATTCTGATTCACGTGTGTTGGTGCAATCCTTTGGTTAACGTCTCTCTTTTCTGTGAACCTGAAAGCTCTGTGAGAGGCTCTGTTTATGTTATATCCCCAAACACAGGGCTGGGACAGAGTACGTGCTCAATGCTATTTCTCAAATGACAGATGAAAGAATAAACAAACATAGGCAATTCCCCCAAGAGACTGCCCAGCTGGCACTGGCGTCCTCTGTGGGCTGTGAGGTCAACCAAAATGGCTATGAATGGCTGTGTGAATTGATTTACAAAGCATGTCTGCCTAAACCTCCACTCATCGCACCACACTCCCTCCTCCTTTCAAGGAGAACTGCATAGACCCAGAGTGTTGATGAAGAACTAGGGTGGGGGGTGTTGCTGATCACCCGGTGTTTGATCAGGGATGCTAGACTGCTGGAGGAAGACAGACCCTGAGGATGCAGGGGAATGACATGGGACCGTGGGTAAGACCTGCCACAGGAGTCTGATCCAGCCAGATTTGGGGAGTTTAGGGGCAAACACCACAACCTGGGAAGGAAAGAAGTCAAAGAAGATGGAAAAACCAAGGGAGGCCGGGGACAGTCCGGAGTGGGACAAGGGCTGGAGAGTCTCTCTTGCCGAGGACATGGCAGCTCAGATTGGTTTAAGCCCACAGTGTTTCAGGGGACAGCCTTGGGGATCCTCTCCCTCCCTATACTGGGTTCTGTGTCACCTCTCCACTCTCCAACTCAAGATGCAATAATGGTGCAATATTCTTCATCCCCATCTGCCCAACTCTATGCTTCTCTTTTGACTTCCTCCAATCTTTTCAATCTAATTTTCCACAGTTGCTCAATAGAAACCCTGCCCTTCAGTCAAGGGCGCTTCTTTACTGCCCCCTGCCCTTTCTACTAGCTCCCAAGACTGTGCTTTTGCATGCTGTCTCCCACTGGAGGATGCCAGCCCCCAGCAGTCCTCTGCTACAGTCCAAACCCATCAAGGCTCCACGCTAGCCACGATGCTCTCCCCCAACACGCCAAACTCCATGGGCTCCTCCCTTCCCAGAGCTCCTTTTGTAGGAAGACAGTGACACTCAGTGAAGCAGAAGGAGCTCAGCCCTGCCTCTCTGTGTTCATCCTGTTTTCTCCCTTTGGATCACCAACTGCCAAAGGGCAGAAAGCAGATCAAATGCTTGGCATGTAGCAGTTGACTTAATAAAGACGTGGTGGACTCGCTGAAGGAAAACATCACTCTTGACCAGCAGCGATGTTTATCTAGAACCATTCCTCATCCTTATAGGGTTGAAGTGACGTATTTTCCCACTTGGGAATTTTGTATAATTAAAAAGTCTTTCAGAAATTGGAACCTGGCAGACAAGACAGAATTTTACCTTAACCAAATTACAAGGCAGCTGCTGGAAGCAAAGCAATGTGTAAATGAGAGAATGTAAATGTAAAATCAGAGTTAGCCACAGATACTGGGCTTTTACAATGAAGCTTAAAAGGGAATTGGGCTGGGTCTGTAAGAAGGACTAGAACATCTTGTGATGCTGTATGGTTGGCTAAATAACGGCCTTCCAAAGATGTTTCCACCTGAATCCCGAGAACCTCCAAATGTCACTTTCTATGACAAAAGAGAGGTTGCAGATTTGATTAAATTAAGGATTTAGAGGTGAAGAGATTACCCTAGATTGCCCAGTTGAGAGTGATGTAATCACAAAGATCCTTACAATTGGGAAGCAGGAGCTCAGACTGAGCAGGTGGAGACACGACGAGGGAATCAACAGGTTGGTGTGATGCAAGGATGGGATCATCAGCCAAGGAATGCAGGAAGCCCTGGGAAGCTGAAAAAGGCAAGGAAATGGATTCTCCTCTAAAGCCTCCAGAAGGAACACAGCCCTGCTGTCACCTTGGCCTAACCTGGTGAAACTCATTTTGGTTCTTCTGACTTCCAGACTGTAAGAGCATAAATGTATATTGCTTTAAGCCTTTAAATCTGTGGTAGTTTATTACAACAGCAACAGGAAACGAATCCTCTGTGCAAAGGCGATCAGTGTGAGAGAAACACGATGTCCTCCTAGAGACATCCTGGGCTCTGAGTCTGAGAATGGGCACCAGGAAGGTCCATCTTGGCAGCCATGCTCTCAGTTGCATGGCACACTGCCGGGTACACACGATTCAAATCGAACTAGCAGCCCCATGCATCTTGCCCCATGAAGCAGAAGACAGTTTGTGGTGGGAGCTAGAAACCAGGTCTGAAAAACAAGCTAGATACCAGAGAGAACACATCCTCTCTTTTTGACATTCTGTCTGTGGATAGGTAGATTTTCATGTATCAAAACTGAGAATCCTGGGAAAGCGAGAGATGCTAACACAGCCCCAGTGATCAACTTGAGTCCACTGAATAACTGGCCAATCCAAAGATGAAACGAATCCGTCAGCTCAACTGGGTTTTCTGAACTGACTTTTATTGTTTCAGATTTGATCTATCTCAAACCCCAGCAGACACCATCTCAAGATTCCCCAGGCAGAGCCCAGATCCTTCGGTTTATCACCAACTTCAAACACCTAAAAATTATCCCCAAAGACAAGATACCCTTCTCTTTCCCAATCATGGAATTTTTCATGCTCTCTATGTATAATCTCTTGAAAGACAAAAAAAAAAAAAAATACAAAACAAAGCAAAATAAGATGGCACAGCTTCAGGTCCCATAAGCAATGAATGCTTTAAAAAAATCAGGACTGAAACATCCTCTCAGTCATGTTTATTTTTTCTTATCTGTAAAGACAAACTGTACACAGTGTCTTCACCACGTAATTTCAGGGTGTATCTATGATAAACTGTAGTTAGATAAGAGGCAGAGTAAAGACACTTTTATCCTGATTTTATCCCCAACAGTGAACTTTTCTAGATGAGGCTTCAAACAAGGCCACATTTGGAGAAAAGAAAGATCTATGGTGGTAAACGACAGGGCTTTAATGCAGTTTATAAAACAAATCTCCTAAATGTTTATTTTCCAATCAAGCTTCTGGCTATAGTTGGGTTAGTACAAGCAACAAAATGAAAGAAACCTTCCAAACAGTGACATTGGCACTTGAACAATAATAAAGAGAAGTATTAAAACATTTCCAGTAATTAGTAGCTGTCTTTTCTTCTAAGAGTTACATAGCCTTAGATTCATATAATCAGGTTCACATAAATAAAAGGTTCTTCCTAAAAAATGGAACAATAAGAATATCATCCCACAGTCATGGCGGAAAGGAAGGCTCTGTTCAGTTCTTCGAGTGACCTTAGCCTAGAATATTCTTGGCTTAATTCAAATAAATGATTTGGTTTTTTTTTTTTTTTTTTTTTGTCTCTCTCCTTCCCTTCTGCCCAAAGGCCCTTGTACACCCACAGACTGGTTTATAAGAAAATGCAAAAAAAAAAAGCAGTAAGAATGGATAAAGTTCAGTATATTCTCCACACCAGTGGTTCTCAAGCTTAAATGGGCACAACTATATGCAAAAATGCAAAAAGTATTTAGAAATACAAAGAATATATTTTAAATGTAATTCTGATTCAGATGGTTCCTGAAATACAGAAATCCTTTCTATGCCAGCAGAATATAATGATTCTGATTGTTCTCTTAACTGGGGAAAGAGAAAGGTGTGGCCTGTCATAACTGGTTCCATGGATACTTAAAAAGATTTTTCTGGGTAAGAATTAGTAGAAAAAAAAAAGATTCACCTCATCTCCCTTCTTCACCAGCCAATTGCCTGCGGGAAGGGGAGCTGAGCTTTTGGGCCAGAGGAAATAGTGTGGTCCCCAGGCAGGCCCCAGCATACCCCTTCCCTCACCCCATTGCCAGGTCATTAGCCTCATCTTAGCCTAATGCAGCAGGATTTTCTGGAAAACTCTGGAAAGAGAGCAAAGGGAGCTGCTTCTCACCTGCATTCTGCACACAAGAAGGCAACCTCAGTGCAGATCCAGTGTGTCTCTGAGCCTCATAGAAAGAGGAGCTACCTCTTTGAAGCTTTGGCCCAGAAATCTACAGGTGAGTTTTTTTCCAGTACTGAGCACATCGCTAGCAGCCACCTGGACAGACACCTGGAGAATGAGGACCAGGCCAAGTAGAGCTGGCTGAGGTCAGGGGAGCGAGCGAGACACTCCACTCAAGACCTTCCATTTCTTTAGCTCTTGAAGACCAGGCAGGCTGTAAGTCCCTGCTCACCAGCCCACGCAGAGAAACTCAGGCTCTGAGAGTGTCCTGAGACCTGTCCCCTGGGAAACCACGGGTCTGTTTGGCACTAGTGCAGCACCAGCAGGCAGTGTGCTGAGGGGTTTGACTGTGTTACAAGTTGCGTTTTCAACTCTACCAAACACCTGATGCTGTGTTGAAAGGAGACGGCTTCTCCACGACCCAGCCTAAGATACATCAAGGAATCCAGATGGAGTCAGGGCACCGTCCGCTCCCAGAGTCTTTCTCGAAGCAGCCACTGCCCTTTGGGGTTCTCTGTCTCATAATAGTCCTCCCCAGGAGACACCTGGGGCTCCAACGCAAAGAGCTCTGCATCCCACTCTGTATCTTCTCCTGAGAAGTTGAAAAGGATCTGTCTGGAGCTCCCCAGGCTAGAAGGAAAGAATGAGGCAGAAGGTTTAAGTTTGGCTTGGCTGGCCGCACAGAGGGAAGGGGTGCTCGATGACCACCATTCTCATGGAGACCCTCAGATTGCTGCCCTAGCCCTGGGCCTTGGGAAGGACCAAATGGTGTTGCTATGGGGGCAGTGGGTGGACCTCAGCTGGACCTTGGCCTGGCCTTGAAGGGGGAGGATGGGTGGTGAGGGCCCGGTTGTGATTTTAGTATGTCCAGTGCATGGTCTGTTACTGTGGAAGGAAAATGCTATATAGAAAACCCCTAAATCCAACAGGGTCTAGTGGCTTTTGTAGAAGCAAAAGAATACAGCTGCTGAGGCTTGGCAGGCCCTTCTGTTGCAACAGGCAAGGTCCTGCAGCATGGCCTAGGTTGCCCAAACCAAGAAATAACTTACTGCTCTGAGTGAGTAGAGGACAGGAATTTGATGGTTAGTGATGGGAACCAGGCCTGGGGGAGGAGGATCTAAAAGGAAAGACGCCAAAGGAGATGGTGGTAAGATGGCCCAAGAGGCGCCTGGCCAGCAAGTTCTACATCTCGGAGCCGGCCCAGTGCCTTTTGGACAGGGGCATCTCATTCACTTGATGTTGGTTTCCACTTGGCGCTATGCTCTATTCAACCTCAAACTCATTAAATGTCTGTAGCACATGATGCGTCAATGGCACTGGGGAGAATCCATGAAGGCAGATGGCACAGTGCATGGGCTAAGTAGGCCAGAGAGAAAGGGAGGCAGACCCAGGAAGAAGCAGGTTAGGAGCAGGCAACAGCAGTGAACCAGGCCAGAGTGCAGACTACCAAAAAACGTGTCGAAACTAAGACCTCCCCGACAAAGTATGTGTATGTAAGAATAATAGTTGGCATGAAAGATGGGGCTCGAGGTGCCTTGAGGATCACCCCAAGCGTCTGGAGGCCATGCGAGCATCTTGGTCATGCGATTTAGCCCAAACGCTTACTCTTTTTTGCAGGTTTTGGGCTTAAATTTCCAGGTGTTGAAGGCCCCTTCCACAGCCTTGGGCAAATAAATGGGGTGCCTCTCGAGTCTCCTCTGAGTGCCCACGGTCCTGCGCTCGGCACTCCTTCGAAACGGGCCGTCTACAGTGTGCACAGTGCGAGCAGCAATGTCCTCAGAGTGTCTGCGCGGCGCCCGCAGGATCCAGTTAGAATGCAAGCTGTGCTCCCGGGAGCTGGTGGCCACTGGAAGAGAAAAGCATGTGACCCTGGAAGGAAGGACCTGCCATTGGGAGGAGCATAAGGCAAAGGAGAGGGTGGACTGGACTGAAAAGTCACCGGAAGTGGGTACAAACAACCATGTTTCTTTTTTTTTTTTTGAGACGGAGTTTCGCTCTTGTTACCCAGGCTGGAATGCAGTGGCGCAATCTCGGCTCACGCAACCTCCGCCTCCTGGGTTCAGGCAATTCTCCTGCCTCAGCCTCCTGAGTAGCTGGGATTACAGGCACACGCCACCATGCCCAGCTAATTTTTTGTATTTTTAGTAGAGACGGGGTTTCACCATGTTGACCAGAATGGTCTCGATCTCTTGACCTCGTGATCCACCCACCTCGGCCTCCCAAAGTGCTGGGATTACAGGCTTAGCCACCGCGCATGGCCAGACAGCCATGTTTCTAATAGCGAATGCTTAGAAAGGCTTGATAGCCAAGCCAAGGAGATTTGACTCTGCAGTTGTGGTGCAGGAGGAATGCAATGGAACATATATATGTCCACTAAAAATGAGGACGTAGGCCAGGCGCGATGGCTCATGCCTGTAATCCCTGCACTTTGGGAGGCTGAGGCGGGCAGATCACCTGAGGTCAGGAGTTGAGACCAGCCCACATGGAGACACCTTATCTCTATTAAAAATACAAAAATTAGGCAGGCATGGTAGCAGGTGCCTGTAGTCACAACTATTCGGGAGGCAGAGGTAGCAGTGAGCCAAGACTGCACCACTGCACTCCAGCCTGGATGACAAAGTGAGACTCTGACTAATAAAAAAAAAAATAGGACACAGATCTATATTTATTGACTTGGAAAGTAGCCCAAGATGTATTGTAAATTGCTAAATAAAATGAGATCCTAGTTTTATTTTGAAAATATCAACATGAATCTGTGTGTGTATGTATGAGAGTGAGTGTGTGTGTGTGTGTGTGTGTGTGCGTGTGTATGTTAACACCACAGTCAGGACATATCCCCAAATGTTAACCATGATGATTATCTCTGGGTGGTAGTTTTCCAGGTCATATGTTTTACTTTCTTCTTTATGCTTCCGTATTTTGTCTGTTTAATTTGATTTACAATGAACATATAGTATTGTTAGCAGAGAAAAGTGGCCATTTCATGAATTTGATAAAAATGATTTTGTCAGTCATTTTTATTAAAAATTATAACTCTGAAAATGACCCTTGCATCCTTAATGAGTTCTGTCATCCTTTCACCAATATCCTGAATTTCCTAGGCCTCCCTCACTCCCAGGATCAGAGCTGCTCTCTGTCAGGGACTGGAGGGGCTGCGTGGGAGAGAAGGAGGATAAGAATAAGCTTGGGAGCAGGGTTAACCTTCTGTGAAACTGCAGAGAACCCGAGTTGAGACCCCAAATCTCACAGATACACATCCATCAAGGCCAGAACAACAACAATAAATCACAAGCTTCTTTCAAGCATTAGAGAAAATGCTCATGAATTACTTAATATTGGTACCAAAAGCTGTGACCTTGGTATAAAGGGCCAATGAGCCCCCTGAATAAAACCATCATTAATTTACACCATGGGGGGCAAGTTAAAGATTTAACAAGTGGTTTGACAGTCGCATGATGGAATATAAAGAGGCCTCAACTGATGAATGTGTTTGGATTCTTTGCTCTCCAGCAAGAGGGATGCCCCAGGACATGCCTTGGTGAGGAGGGAAGCGTGGCCTCAGGCCTCACCCCACTCCAGCTGCAGCCGTCCAGGCTGGGTCTGGGCAACCACCATGGGCCTCTCCTGCCCTACGCACCACCCTACTACCTAGCCTAGGCAGGGTCAGAAGCTGGATTCTCAAATACAGTTTGTCTATTATTCCCTTTCTTTTTTTTTAAGTTGTGGTGAAGTATACAGAACATAAAATTTACCATCATCACCATTTATTTTTTGAGATGGAGTCTTGCTCTATTGCCCCAGCTGGAGTGCAATAGCACAATCTTGGCTCACCATAACCTCCATCTCCCAGGTTCAAGCGATTCTCCACCTCAGCCTCCCGAGTAGCTGGGATTACAGGGGCCCACCACCGCACTCGGCTAATTTTTGTATTTTTAGTAGAGACAAGGTTTTGCCATGTTGGCCAGGCTGGTTTCGAACTCCGGACCTCAGGTGATCAGCCCACCTCAGCCTCCCAAAGTGCTGGGATTACAGTGTGAGCCACCCCGCCCAGCCATCATCACTATTTTTTTTTTTTTTTTTGAGATGGAGTTTCGCTGTTGTTACCCAGACTGGAGTTCAATGGCACGATCTCAGCTCACCACAACCTCCGCCTCCTGGGTTCAAGCAATTCTCCTGCCTCAGCCTCCCGAGTAGCTGGGACTACAGGCGTGCACCACCATGCCCAGCTAATTTTTGTATTTTTAGTAGAGACGGGGTTTCACCTTGTTGACCAGGATGGTCTCGATCTCTTGACCTCATGATCCACCCGCCTGGGCCTCCCAAAGTGCTGGGATTATAGGCGTGAGCCACCGCGCCCGGCCATCACCATTTTTTAAGTGTGCTGTTCAGTAGTGTTCAATATATTCATGCTGTTGCGCAAGTGATCTCTGAAACTTTTTCATCTAAAAAAACTGAAACTGTTCTCTTTCAGTGACACCCCTCATCAATCCTCCTTCCTTCATCATTTCCCTATTGCTGTCCTTCTTGGAGTCTTAGGAAAGTCCCACCTCTCTCAGCCATGGTAAGTAGACCACAAGGAAAACAGTTTTGTCCAAATATGGCCCCAGAATGTTGGAGGGGCAGGCTGGAGCAGTGGCAGCAGAGACAAATGAAGCAAGATATCCCCACGGAGGACCAGCTCAGGGCCAGGCTCCAGCCTGGAGACGCAGGGCTTCCCTTTAATCAGGGAGGTGGGATTCCTGATGGCCTATCCTATAAGTCCATCCCAGAGCCCCCAGCCCATCCTCACAGCATCACAGCCCCACTCGCCTTCAGCCACCATCTTCCCACTGCCTTCTAGCACTCACCATCAAAGTCCACATCTTCATTTGGCGGGCTGGCCTCGGCAGTCCGGGGCCGTCTCTCTGTATCCAGCTCTGCAATGATGGAGTCAAAGAAAGCAATGGCCTCGGCCACATCAGCGCTGAACTGCGAGTATTTCTTTGCAGTTGCTTTCTGCTAGAGGTGAAGGGGAGAAGAGGGAGTTGCCTGAGCCAGTAAGCCAGAGGCTCAGAAAAGGATTAAATGTTGCTAAAACGAAATGCACATAGAGTTAGGGATTTGTGAGGTTTCAAAGGTAACTATGAGTAAGTGCCCTGTGGAAGGAAGGTAGATACCCAGGCCCATAATTGCTGTAGGTCAATGGATTTCTAATTATCTCAGGAAGGGAGACTGAAAGGACAACAAGATCTACTTCTTTCTTGGTCACAGATTTGCTGTCAGACATTAGACAAAATAATTAGTCTTTTTTTAGCCTTCTTCCTTGCTGATAAACACACAATTAGGAGACTGTACAGTTCCTTAGGTAGGTGATGAGACAGTCACAGCGGGAAAGACATGATAGATCTCTAGATATGTTGAAAACGCTCTAAGAGTTGTCAGTTTCTATAATAACCCAATTGTACATTTTAAAATAACTAAAAGAGTATAACTGGATGTTTTTGAAACACAAAGGATAAATGCTTGAGGGGATGGATACCCCGTTTTCCATTATGTGATTATTTCACATTGCATGCCTGTCTCAAAACATCTCATGTACCCCATATATTCATAAATATATACCTACTATGTACCCACAAAAATTAAAAATAAATTTAAAAAAGTAAAGATGTCAGTTTCTAAAGGGACCAAATTTACAGTCAAATCATAGAACAAATTAAAATTAGTATAACTGTTTGAAAAGTACAAGGAATAATAAAATAGAGTTTCAAAACTCTATTCAGTAGCTAACCAGGTTCCAGGCTGTTTCCTGACTGTTCCCTTCATGATCTCAGTTCATCTTCACAATCGTCCAGTCATGAGTGACTGACATGGAAGTTCAAGATTCATGGTGGGTTTCAGTGGAGAATTAATGGCCTCCAGAATTGATCAAATCAATACGTGTATTAACAAAAAAACTCTCTGAGGAATTTAGGAAATAAGAGAACTTGGGGAGAGAAAAAAGGGTCAGATGTGTTAACATAGGCACATTTGATCCAATGTAGACTTATTTTATTTGATGTGAGCATTTTTGAAAACAGTGAATATGATTTAGTTATAGACTGGTGTGTCAGGAAAGAAAACAGCATCTCTGCGTGTACAAGATGTTTATGAAATGTATGCATTTTGTATTACTAAGAAACATTTTTAAATAGAGAAGTTTCTTTGTTTTATACTTGCAAAATATAAAAGGAAAGCTCTAAGAGCTTTCTTAGAGGAAGATGTTGAAGGACCACAATATACACCCTTGATATGATTTGTCTCTATGTTCCCACCCAAATCTCATCTTGAATTGTAATCCCTACTGTTAAGGGTGAGATCCAGTGGGAGGTGACTGGATCATGATGGTTTCCTCCTGGCTATTTTTGTGATAGTGAGTTCCCATGAGATCTGATGGTTTAAAAGTGTGGCACCTCCCCTTTGCTCGCTCTCTCTCTCCTGCTGCCTTGTCAAGAAGGTGCCTACTTCCCCTTTGCCTTCCACCATGATTGTAAGTTTCCTGAGGTCTACCAAGTCATGTGGAACTGTGAGTCAATTAAACCTCTTTTATTTACAAATTACCTAGTCTTGGGTAGTATCTTTATAGCAGTGTCTCCTGGTCCTTCTGCTCTGTCATATTGCTCACCTCTGCAGCTGCTTTCTGACTGGCAGAAGCTTTTGGAAATCTCTTTTCCATGGATGGCCTTTATCTTTTAAAATGAAACTGAGGAGAGGAAAAGTAGAAATCTCAAGAACAGAGAGGACAAGAGAAAGGCCACCTGTGAAAGAGAGATTTCCAAGAGCTTCTGCCAGTCAGAAAGCAGGTGGAGAGGTGACCAAAGTGATGGAGAAGGAGGACCAGGTCCCAGAACATCATGGGTGGGGTAGCAGCTGAGAAGAGGTACAATTCAACCTTCAGGAAGTGAAGACGCTCTAGACAGGGCAACTCCAGGCACACCAAGGGCTGGGCGTGGGATAAGACTAAAAAACCAGGAAGCTTAGTCTCTGAGTGCAGCAGGCCCAGCTGCCAGGCATCCTTCCTTCAGGCAGGTGACAGAAGCCTCAGCCTGGAGGTAGGTCCACACTTGTTTATTGTCCCTGCATTTTCTTTTGCTGCTTCCTCTGCCCTGGATGTTCTCACTGGCTGACTCTAATTCATCCACTGAACTTGCTCCTTCTCCAGGAAGCTTACTGTTTTCCTGGGCTAAGTTTCCATCCTCTAGGTTCCCATGGGTCTCAGTACCTAACCTCAGTCTACTATGACACATATCATTTAAGAGATTTTTGGTGAAGTGGAGAAGAGAGAAACAAAGAATGGAGAAAGCCACCCAACCCAGCCTGACCCCTGAGGAAGTTTAAGTATTATTTAATAATAATGCGAGGTCCATAGTGGTTTTGCACCTCGAAACCCACCTCCACATGGAGGGGACATCTCCAAGTCTCCAGAAGTCAACTCCCATCAGTGTTTAGCTTAACACAATTTATTATTTTAATGATATTTTATCATTTAATTAAAATACATTATTATAAATTATAATAAGTCCAAATTATATACACCAGTTTGGGAACAAATATAACTTATTTTTAATAAGCACATCATTCAACTTATGAAGCTGAGAAGTACATAGGCATATCCTAGTTTTAAAAACATTTTATTACAAAAATTTTTCAATAGAAAGACTATAGAAAATAGAGCCATGAATCCCATAGACTCATCAACAACAACCACCATCACCTTTCTGCCATTCTTGTTCATCTATAAATCTCTTTTTTTTCCTGAAAGCTAATCCTAAAAGAGATAATTTTACTCATAAATACTTCAAAATGTATCTTTAACAGATAAGAGTTTTCAGCACCATTACCCACAATATTATTATACTCAACAAAACCGGCAATTTCTTAGTATCAGCAAGTACCCAGTTTATGTTCTACTTTTCTTGACCAACTCAAAAATGTCTTGTACAAGTTGGTTTGTTCAAGTTAGGATCCAAACAAGCTCCACATTTAATTGCTACCTGTTCCAGTCTCTTTAAGGTTTTATGCAGGTCATTTAATTGAAGAATCTGTGTCATTTGTTCTATAGACTTTCTCACATTCTAGATTTGACTGACTCCTTCTTCTGGGAGTTGGTTCACATGTTTCTCTATTCCCCAAATCCCCTATACTGGTCCTGAGATCTGGAGCAGGGCTGTCTGGTAGGACTTTCTGTAGTGCTGGGAATGTTCCACATCTGCACTGTCCACTACGGTAGCCACTAACCACGTGTGGCTATTAAGTACTTGAAAAATGGCTACCATGATTGAGGAATTGAACTTTTAATTCTTAAATTTAAATTTAAATAGCCATATGTGACTGGTGGCTACTGAAGTGCAAAGTTCAGATTTAAAGGTTTAATTCAATTCAGATTTAATTTTTTAAATAGTAAGGTTAGTAATGCTGTGTATCACATATTAGGAGGCACACAATGCACATTTTCCTGTTTTATGCAATGTTGACCTTGATTGGGGGTTTATGTGATGTTGATTTGATCCATCTACTAGAAAATTTGCCATCTACCTTTTACTTAATGCTTTTAGCAGTTATGCCTAGGTTCATTATTTTACTACTAGTTGCAAAATGTTGCTTTTCCAGTTCTTCAACCTTTCTGCATTTATTAACTGTGCTTTTGAAGAACTTTCCCTCATCAACCACACGGTCTGTTTAGGAATGGCAGAATACTTGCTCTTTTTGTCTCATATAATAAACTGATACCCTAGAAAGTTCTAAAGTTAACCAATAAGGTTCATTTGCTTGTTTGTTTGCCGGGGGTAATATTTAAAATTCATGTATTTTTAACATATTTGATGTCATTTCATCAGTTGTAATTATCCTTTTTGATACTCACACTGTCCTGTATTTTGACATCAAGAACTCTTTCAAGGTGGATCCTGAGTCTCTTTGACACATCCTGGTATCCTTGAAAGCCTCTGAACTTTTAGACATAACAAATGCCCAATATTCATCTTGTACATTTTCTACTCCAGACCTGGATTTGGTTACTTCTCCAAAAACAATTTTTAGTTGGAAGTGGTATTTAGACAGCACAATATACAGGTTAGGGATTTTATTGCTACAGGGTTGTCATTACTTCTAGGCCTTTTCAGTGCAATAAACTAGGAAATACTAATTTTTTAGAAATAAAAAAAATCTTGAGTTCATACTGATATTTGCAATTCAAATTAAAACAGTGTGTTCATGGTTCATCTTCCCACTGTTTTCATTACTGCTACAATATATTTCACTTTTAATTATGCCGTAAACACACAATATATTGCTACCCTTTTTGCTTTAGACAATTAGTTATAATTTAGAGAATTTTAAAATGTTTTAAACCCACAAATTGTATTTTTACCTTTTTCCAGTCATCGTCACCTCTTTGTGTGGATCTAAGTTTCTATCCGGTACCACATTACACTTCAAAACTTATCCTTAATATTTATTGTACTACAGGTCTGCTTAAGAATGAATTCTCATAGTTTTTGCTTGTCTAAGAAATATTTCTTTTGCTTTCAGAACTCTGTTGACAAGTATTTTTTTCTTTCTTTCAGTGCTTTAAAGATATCATTTTTGATATAGTTTGACTGTGTCCCCACTCAAATATTATCTTGAATTGTAGCTCCCATTATTCTCATGTGTCATGAGAGGGAGCTGGCGGAAGGTAATTGAATCATGGGGATAGGTCTTTCCTGTGCTGTTCTCATGATAGTGAGTCTCTTGAGATCTGATGGTTTCACAGAAGGGAGTTCCTCTGCACAAGCTGTCTTGCTTGCCTCCATGTAAGATGTGCCTTTGTTTCTCCTTTGCCTTCCACCATGACTGTGAGGCCTCCCCAGCCATGTGGAACTGTGAGTCCATTAAACCACTTTCTTTTATAAATTACCCAGTCTTGGGTATGTCTTTATCAGCAGCATAAGAACAGGCTAATGCAACTCCATTGTTTCCTGGCTTGCTTCATCTTT